ATCTGTATCTATTCATTTATTTGAGTAATAATAATTATCTTTCGTCTCTAAAATAACAATAATAATTCAGAATAAATCAATTCCTTTTCTTTCCTAACTAATTTTGTTCTTTCTATCTTTTAATATTGTTTTACTTCTTTTTATTTCTTTTTTCGGCAATGCAATCTTGATAAAACCAGAATAATTCGCGCAGAAACACTGGCGAGGCGGAAGAATTATTCATTATCAACTGGTAAGGAAACTTCTTCATCGAAGACACCTGCGAGTTTCGTTTATAGCGGCGAGTTAAGAGGTGAGTTATGCGTGCAAATGCGGTCGTTACAAGCAGTAGATAACGAAGCAACTTTTAAAGCAAATTGCCACATACATGCCACACGCATGTCGCAATTTTTCCGTCTGTGAAACTTGATTGCTATTTTAATAACGAGCGTGACAAGGTTGCACTCTTAGTCATTGATGACGCAGATAATTTCAAGAGGGACAGATGCGTTGCGCATTCCTTCTTTTTGATATCATTCTGAATACATAAATCTGAAAAATAAATTCAAAATACAAAAATGCGGTAATTTATCATCCACACTGAGCTAATAATTGCATTTCATTTGCGGCGTAAAGAGATTGCGTATTAATTGATTGCAAACGAAATGCTATTCTATTCGTCTAAAGTTGCGTAAAAATATGGAAATATGAAAATATGGAAAGCTCTGATAAAATCTGAATATATATATTATAATTATAAATTTATACCTTTTTTTAATGTGCGCGCAATTAAGACCTGATAATCATATATAATAATATTCTTGAGGCTTTCACGGGTGTTTCCTATATGACAATCTTGCGTTTCGCGAAAACCCGCGAAACGCAAGATTGACAATCATATATAATACTTTTAACAAATTTTTTAATTAATTTTATAATTTTGATTTAATTTTTTAAAGATATTTTGACCATATGTAATATCAGCTAAAAATATCAACCAAAAAATTAGCTAAAAAAGCTAAAATTAGCTAATATCAGCGAAAACATTTTAGCCGTAAATATGCCTTAAAACTGTAAAATACAAGATAACAAATAATTTTGCTTATGTAATTTAATGACTATGTTTTGCTAGAGTGTTAGACAAATAACTTTTAAAAGAGTAATAAGTAAATTCAAATAAACCTTTGCGCGAATATTTTTTAAAATTTTATTATATATAAAAAATTGGATTTAATTCGTAATGTTATTTCCTTAATTTACGAATAAGAACTATAAAATATAATTTTACAAAAATCAAGACAAACAGATAAATTAAATAACTTTTAGACTTTTATAGACTTAATAAGAAAATAATGCTCATATTTTACACAAATTAAAAAAAATACCCAAACGTAATAATAGAATATAATTTATAACATTTTTATATTTTTAGTATCTAAAATATGATTTGAATATGACACATACGTTCCTAATTAATGAATGACAAAAGAGCAATATCATTTCAAGCAAACCTATAAGTCATGATGAACATTTAAATTCATCAAAATTTCTGCAAAATAATTATTAAAAGTCACTTTTTGATCAGTCAGAATTTATTTTAACATTATTTTAAAATTAGCAAAACTTATTATTCTATTTGAGATGTTTTCTTTCAACTGACTAGTAATCTGTATGTATATAAGAACTTTTATATTTAGCTACGAATTTTCATCAAGATTATGCCAGAAACCATAAGCCCTCGATTTAGAGACGAAAGGTGTTCAGCACGAGCCACACCGTGCCGCGATCGTTTCTTCCGAGCAGCTGCCGCTATTTTTCGAAAATAAAGGTGGCCCTGCCGTCTGTCCGCGGACCCGCCACGTGTAAGGGTCTCTATCTTATTCCTTCGGCTTTTTTCCAATTTTAATTAATCGTCTTGATTATTCGTCTCGGCATAAGGAACGCGATTCATTAGTCGCGTCACCTCTTATTAGCGGCGCAACTCTTCACAGTTATATAAAATTACAAAGCGAGTACAATGCGTTGAGATTATAATACAGTGACTTAACCGAGGGCTCGATCTCCTCCGCACAGTTAGTAGATTCTGCGTTAGCAGATGTACTTCCGGCAGCTGTAAAAGTGGTGTACCTCCTTTATAGGTGCACGCGCCCTCGACGCGCACGCGGCGAGACAATGAACACCGATTGGCCATTAGGTCCGCATCTGTCGGATTTCATGAGAGATCAATTTTCTATGCCGAGGTATCAATTCGACACATGATTCGATCGGACAAAATAATTTCAACGTTTATATAATTTTTTTCGTGATGTCTTTTTGCGGAACATAGTAAGAGGTACGTACAATTGTCATCTGTAGAATTTAACGCAGAGTTTAACGACCAATCGTAAGTACCACTAGACTCTAGAGTAAATATCTTTCTCGCCAGCAGATGTATGCACAAAACAATGTGCAGCCGTTCATTATATGAATTTTTTTTAAATATCTTTCATCTTCTTGATACACGGCATGTTGCTACCATCTGCGCGGTGGAGCTTTTTTCCACTACTTTAGTTTCTAAGACAATTTTTTGCGCTGGCCCGACCGAACTCTCCGAGTTATCGCAAATAAATTTTATCATACACATCCCATTAAATTGCGACGTTAGTTTCATTATGACGTGTAATTAATTTTGCTTCTTGTCGTTAAAAATTCTTTGTTTCTGGTTATCGAGGATATACAAATATAAATGTAAATAATTTATTGTCCTTCTTACGTAAAGATCTACATATCATCATATCGATACGTTACGATATAATTTTCTTTCTTTTTTTCCATTAATTCTTACACACAATATAGCTAGGTCATTCGGTTATCCTGTCCTGTACATTTCTGTTCCTTCAAATACTGGGAGCACCTGGCTAAATAATGGTCTCCTTTCCTTTTTTTTAAATCTCCGTCTGCATGCAATTTGGATCTTTTTAGCACAAGTGAAATTTTATTCTCAAATTTCTTCGGAATAAAGGAGAACAGAGTCCAATTCTCCCTTCTAAAATATTTTGTTAGCAGTGGGGTGTTATGTAACAGAAATATTAAAGCTCTGAATTTTTCCACACTTTCTGAAAGCCTTGAATAGCAAAAAAACTTGGGCTGAGCAAAAAAAGTCCTAGATTGCAGATGGAAGGTTAATACACGATCTTACAAATACTAAAAATGTTAAAGTATATGTAAAGATCAGTTAAGAATCTGTATATACTTATAAAAATGATGAAAATTAATTCAGACACGAACGACCCGTCGTGTAATAAAAGACCGGAAAATTATCGTGTACCCTAAAGATTAACAAATTCTAAGATTAGGAACATGATATTTAGGTAGATTATAATTTGTCGCTTTACTGTGGGCACGGCCAACGCTATGCTATAAATACTTTGAAGCGTTTTTTAATTGGTCAGTTTGTAAAATTCTTTTTTCTAATTGGTCCATCAAACGCTTCAAATTTGTAGCGAGACTTTGATCAGCCTATGTCGTTTGAAAAGACAATCCGAGTTTTCGGAGTCCGAAGAAGGCCTGCGAGTTACACAACACAGGATCGGGATCTATCGCACATCTGCATCTGTGTACGCTGATGATCGCTGCGCCGGTTCACGGACGGGCTAATTCAGCCAATTTACTTGATTCCCCCGGCGCTGCCACAATGGATCGCCAACATGGCCCCTATGGTCGCGCTCGCCATGATGGCCTGGCGTTTTTCGACTTCGACGCGGAATGCAGACGTCCCGAATTAAATACGCGTCAGTTAAGACGTGCCCGTCTGTGTGTTCACCCGCGCCCATTATTCTTACAATTCGTCTTTGACATTGATATTCTCAAAGCATCCCCATATACGATATAGAAGATTAAGACGAGTTTAGTTTTTGTATTCCTAAGATCGCCCGTATCTTCGAGTCGAGCCACGAGAAAGATTAATTAATTCCGTTTGAAAGAGAGATTTGACGTGCCACTAGATTATAATTTTTATTTATTTATTCTTTGTAATACACATTGATTACTTTTTATTTTACTTTTTTAATCGAATCTTTGAATTATTGCAACATAGAGTTAAAAGTACGTTTTGACACATTTTTTAACTGTCTTCATTGAGTTAAACAATAAAAAATGAAAGAGACTAACATTGCTTCGCTACAATTTAAAAAATAAACAATATTTTTATTTTAGACCGTATATGTGAGAAACACAATCAATACTAGAAATTTAAACGCCTATTAAGGTCGAAGTTGGAGCTTCGTTGCTTTAAATAATTCAATCTTGAATTACTAATATATACTATATATGTACTTGCATATATATTGGTATATTGAATTACTAATATATACTATATATGTACTTGCATATATATTGGTATATATGCAAGTACATATATAGTATATATTAGTAATTCAAGATTGAATTATTTAAAGCAACGAAGATTCAGCTTCGACCGTAATAGACGTTTAAATTTCTAGTATTAAAATATAAAGCTGTGTATATGAAATGAAATAAAATATTTCTTATAATTGTATGTTAATTTTATATTGCGATTTGAAATATAATTTAAAAATAAAACTTGGAGTTAAAAAAGCATAACAAGAGAATACAATTAAAAATATTTAATTTATACTTACCGAAATATATATAATATGTAATATACATATATAATTTTTTTAAGTTATATTAACTTAAAAAAAATTAGCAAAAATATTAACTTAAAAAATGTCAGTTTTATGTTAGAGCTGTTCAGTCACTGATAACAGCGATTCTACGTTACAAATATCGAATACGAATATCAAATTCATTTTATTACAAACATAATAAAGATAGAAAGAAATAAAAAGTTTATTTGTTTGTTTACAATTACGAGTAACTGTCGTAAAGATCAGTACAGAATGGATATTTACACAATCGAGTACAATACCTCTTCACTGAAACATGACTACTACTACAAATCACGGCCTTTAATAATACCGCATATAAAACTGCTTATAAACTCGCGTGTGCATCGATTGGAAGCAATCTCGTTCCCTTCTCCGTGCTGGACTTGAGGCGTCGCTGAACAAAATCCGCGACACGCGAATTGCGACTATTGCAAACGGTAAACCGGAAGTGAGCAGCCGCGAGTCGTCTAGGCACGTAACTATAAGGGTGTGAGAATGAAAGAGGTGGACTCTCCACTACCAGGCGTTGTTCCTCAACCGACACCCCCTCCCCCCAACCCCCTCCCATATGGTAGCCACATGTAGGTTCTGGGCACCACCAGAGGGGGAAAAGTCATCGCGGGGATCCAGCTGATGGTCGACGCGTTGGTCGGGCTTCTTCAGTTACTGTTGGACCGCACGCTGGTCTGGTCTACGCGTCGTGCTGGATGAATCCGGCTTCGATATCAATTTTCCAGAAGAACGGAAGTTCAGGCTGCAGCGCAGCACGACGACCTTGACCCTTATTATTGGATCGCGAGGTCGTGCGAGAACCAGCAGAAACTGAAGGTGAGCAGCGAGAAACGATCAGAGGCTCGAAGAAAGAGAGAGAATCGAAGGCACGCGAAGCGAATGTTTGATTCTCTGTTAATTAACTAACGGGACAATAATCAGATAATTGTAATAAACGGATAATGGATCTCTTCTGCTTTGTCGTTTGAAATATTAGGTTCTCATGAAACGTAGAGTAATTTTGCTGCTCGCATAAATTGTTCGATTTTATGTAGATGAATGAAGGGAACAATTTTAGCAACTATTATCTTGTTAATTTTATGAACCATATTTCTTCATAACAGCGATCGTAAATATTACCTCTGTATAATTATTTATGTAATCTGTTTTGTAAATGATTGTAATTAACCTAACTTAACCACATGAGCTATTGATAATCAGAAGTTAATTAAACGTAATAAAATATGTATACTCAGAAAGAATCGTTTTGCTAAAAATTCTAAAATTTTATTTTATACAGATCTGTAAATAATTTTGCTGTACCATCAAGAGAGTTATGTTGAAAAACTATAAAATGTTGAGCAAAAAGTTTTTATATACCAGTAACCAGTTTAAGTCTCCAATAAAAATATTTGTAGATTTGTTCCAGCTAAATTTTTGATCTTTCAGCAAGATCGTTCTCTCTCTTTTCGTGTAATAATGAAAATATGATTATAATATTGGCAATTGGCTCGTGTTGGCCTCCAAGTTGATTAAAGTGGTGCAGGGGTGACGCAAAATCTGACGATGGGGATGGGCATCCTTAGTAACAGTGTAATGCCGTTCGAGTATTGATTTCAGACACGGGGTTTAGGGTAGCGTTACACGTGTCTACGATGCGTTCAACAAACATCGGTCATGCTCGTTTCGCGTAAATCCTTTAGAATTTCCTTCCGCTCGATTGAGAGCCAATCTGATACAAATCAAGACAGATACCGTTGCAAAGTAAAAGAATCTTATTAATCAAATTTAAGAGAAAAATCACTCCGACATTTCTTGACGTTTCAGTTAGACAAACTGATCGTTTCTGCCTTTAATTCGTCGGCAATAGCATATAATTTTTATTCCAATGTCTTTATGTTGTATTTTACATGAGATGGATATTTATAGCCGCGTGATAAAAAAAAAGGATAATAATAAAAATCTCGCAATCTCCGGGAATTTCCTGGAATTATAATAAAACGATGAGCGCGATAATTTCCCGCGCTATCGATCATGAAGAATTCCAATGACAGATATCGAATCATTCGATCGCAACTTCGTAGATGATACCGGATGCAGAGGCTGTGTGTCAGACTTCCGAGGCTGCGGTCGACAGTGGCAGCGACGTATACGAGAAGATTAAGGACCGGCCGGAAAAGGAAGTGGCGTCGGAGACCGCCTGGAACCGATACCAGCGATTGGTAGCCGCGATGGAGTCCCGGGGTGGTGAATTCAACCGGAAGTCCGTGATCGAGGCGATCTTCCGTGGCAGCGATCTCGTCTACGTCACTCATTGATCGGTGGATCGATCAGGCGCGAGTGAGAATCTCTCGCGCGTTCCTGTACCAAAGTGCCAGCCAGTATCAAATCACTTTTGAGCAGTGGTGTAGAATTCGCGAGTCGCAATCTAATACGCAATTGAATATTATGGATCTATATGACGAATCTATGCAAGGATTTAGCAAAATTTTTCGAAAGAATGGAAATGATACTTGCATTATTTTTTTATAAGATGAAATAATGATTTACACTATTATTACTTTTTATGGATTCCTATAAAAACTAATTATATCTCTACAAAGTCATTAGGAGATAGTAATTAGTTTAAGATATAAATTTGTTTTAACTATTTTAATGTCATATAGTATCGGCAGCAGATCTTTTTTTAATTTTGTAAATGCCACGCAAAAATATCAACTTTTAGTTTAAAATGCATTTTGTTTCACATTTCAATATAAATTTTAAAAACAAAGTTTAAAAAAATAAATTAGCTGTCAGTGTTACAACATCAAAAACATTTAAAATCATTCTTTTTTGACCTTGTTTGACATTAGTTTTCTTAAAATTATGACGTGATAACTAAATTTTGAAAACGAATTTGTATTCAGCTCCTGAAAATTACGAAACGATTACGTTCGTTCAGGCAATGATCCTAAAATGTAAATTCATGGGCTAGTATTATATTGATCTAATTAATTATTGCTAAAAAGATAATACTCGTTAATGTGTTTAAACATTAAATAGTCAGTTTACACTCACTCCGTTTTTAATCTGTAGATGAATGATGTTACATGCATATTCAAGTTTTGATAGATATTTTTTGATTTATTGAGATTGCTATGCGACGTCGAGAGTATAGGATGTAAGAGCGCAGTTTGACGCGGTTAACGTGGCTGTGTATTATAGTTCGACGTCGAGCACACACTATTTTTAGATCCGCATGAGGGGAGTTTAATGGTTCTGGGAGACGAATGCTTTCATAAGTTTATACGTGAAGCAAGTATCGTTACGTACGAGTATCCTTGAAGAACTCTAAACAAGCTAGTCTCGAAATTAGAGGAGGCACGCACATGTCCTCATTAACGCTGAAGTTCAAATTGTATTAACAAGCTAAACATTACTCTAATATATATCACATTTTTGAGCGGAAATAAAATTGAATTATGTAATAATAGCAGCGAATGTATACTGAGAGAAAATTATTTGATATTGTAATTACATGGAAAGAACGTTTGTTAAAATATTAAAAAATTTAACTGATACAATCTGATAATAATTTTGTTGAATTATCAAAATAATTATGTATAATGCTTAAGCGTTGATGGCAATGCTGCAAAAATTTTTGCAACTGGTTTGAATGTCCTACATAATTATTTTGATAATACAAACAAAATTATTTTTTAATTTAGCTAAATTTTTACTTCAGCAAAACCTTCTTTCTATCCATGTATAATTACATGATACAGTAATTATGATTTTAAGCTTTATTTTTATAGTTATTATATTGTTATATTGTTATAATGTTAGTAAAAATAATTATATTATAGTTTCCTACCAAAAATTATATATATGACACAAAAAATGACTGTAAACTACAGTTAAATTATAGTGCCATTTTTTCTCTCAGTGTACATGCACTGCGAAAAGCAAAGAAATTAAATGCTTAAAATTTTACAAATTACTAATTTGTTAATTATTAACATTGACATAGAATATTCACTATATGTTTGATGAAAATATAGCCATCGTTCAATCTTCGAAGAAAAAGGTTCTGCCGATATTTGTAAACAATTATACGTACCGTAATAATTAGCGAATAGTGAATGTGGATTAATGTAAAAGTAAGCGTACCGCGTTTCTACGCCACTGACTAATGCAATCGTAGATAAAAATACAATTAACGATGCCAAACTGTGTATTACTAGTCAATGTGTGCATAATGAATCGTGGAAGAATAGGATAGACCATTTAATTAGACAATTACGACAACGGCGGTGATTAGTCGCTATCACGCGATAGACGATGGAAGGCGTATCTCTAATCAGTCGCATGAGCTCATGCGACATTGGCTGTGCTCAATCTTGCCAGCAATGAGCTACACTCACTCTATGTATTATATATAGAGAAAGATTATGCGCGAGAGGCTGAAGCCAATAATAATTATGATTATGTTGTCGCCAATTCCGAAAGATTACGATTGTAACTGAATGATTAAGAGAGATAGTGTTTTAAATTTTAGAAACGAACTGTAAGGGAATCAGTTCAATAAAATAAATTATATTTATTCGAAACTTCAGTGTTGCGTATTATCGATCACCGTGATAAGTATTATGTTTGATAATTCAGAGACATTAGAAAAGATACTCTAAAGATTTAATATCTTTATAATATTATATTAAAGACGAAATAAATATTTTAATGCAAAAATAAAGAAAACTTGAGACAGAGGTTTTAAGTTTAGTTTCTTTAGTCTTGCTACGAAATGATATATGTAAAGGTAATAAACTAAAATTCGATCTCCTTACACAAAAACCCCCAGAGGTAATATATATTTACGATTAATTTATACAATTTATTCGTCATTTCCACGATAATTAAATATTATAGTTGGATTAAGTCGTGGCACGCAACTGATAATTGTATACATGTACATAACTACTATATTAAATATTGTAGTACAAATATACAAAATATTTACAAGTAACGTTTATATAATCAACTCCCCGTCTCCTAGATAAATTCGCTACATATTGTCAAGTATTTTACAGCATTTTTACAAAAATAGGCACGATACTGCGTGAGCGTCTACAATAATTGCACGTATATTACATATCTATAACATAATAATCGTAGCTTACAATTAATAACAAGTCCGAAAATAAGATATAATTAAAAAACTGATTATGTAATAAAAAAATACAAATTTCGCGTTACAAAAACAAAAGAACGACTTTTCGTGTCCTAAAAATATGCGCAATGTGCGCTAGTTATAGATATCCCTCGACCAAAAATTTTACATCTTTTATCAGCAACCTGAATCTTTGAGTTTCAATACAGGTTTTTATATTGTTCCGATATAAAAATTTGAAAAAATCTTTGACTTGTAAAAATTTTAATGAGTTTACTCTATCATAGTAAGGTATTTTATATTGTATTTTTTTTACTCATTTCTTACAGAATTTATAAAATTCATAAAATTCATAAAATTCAAAAATTCGACTGTGCCTTCAAAGTCCTTGATTGTCGGAGGGATTTATCAATCATTTTCTCTATTAAAATTGTTATCACCTTAATACTCTAATTTATGTACTTTCTCTCAATTCCATTATCAACACAATCTTTCAAAAAATGAAAGAATTCCCAATAATATTTTTTATACATACATTTGTGCCAAGAAGAATAATATTTCTCGGTACAAAGTCAGTGAGCCTAATAGCATACTGGAATGAGCCATCGAGGAGTGGGAGTGTTCCAATTCTTAAATAATGACACTTTGAGCCAAAGATTGTACAGTTTTCTTTGTTAGAGATTTGCCGATTAACTAATATCGTTTTACTACACTAAAAAGATTCACCTAACTAAGTTAATTTAATTTATTTTTATTCCTTTCGAAGAAGAATGTACGTATTTAAGTCAAACATGTTAGATTTTACTTAAATACGTACACTTTCTAATGAGAGAAATAAAGACGGATTAAATTAATGAAGTCAAACGAACAATTTTTTTTCAGTACATAAGAAAGAGCTAGAAAAACATGTATTTGTATGCCTTCTTTTTCTCTGTCCGTTGCGGTTTTCTATAGTTTAGTTAGTACAGAGGAAGGCTCGCTCCAGTATTTATAGACTATAGATCTCACAAAGTAAATCATTTACATCTGTTGACATGCCGCTGCTAACATCACAAGGACAAACGATGCAGTCTTTATATAATGTTGTGGCAATTTCATATAAACTCAGTGACGAAGATCTTTTTAAAGTCCGGTACCGAGCCGCCAATATCGTGTTTGCATATGTCGCCATTGTCGAGGTAACTCACGTCGGAGTTCTTTAGGATGGTCTTCAGATTCTCCATCGAGAGATTCGGTATCTTTTTATTAGCAGTCAGTTTATCTAGGTCGTTCATCGAATAACCGGGCGCGATCCTTTTAGTTTTTAGATGATAGGACTGTATGCTAGGCTTCGTATCGGACAGCTTCGTGTTGCTACCGCACTTCTTGTCCTCCCGATCCTCTGTACCGTTCTCTATGATACGCGGCGTGAAAGATCGCATGCTGACCTTTACCTCGCCGGTTCGCTTCGAGGGCAGCAACTCCACCTGTAAAACAGAACGTTCTCACGATGCAGGATTACGTAAGCGTGTGCGCCTTTAACGCCGCGAAAAGGCCGACGAAACGTTCCGTCAGCGGTGAATATTTTTCTACTAGGACGATGCATTTTCTCGCATCGTGAAAGTGCCTCCGGCACGCCTTGCATCCTCTTGCGTTTAACATTAAACTCGAGAAAATCGGTCATTCTAACCGCTATCGGTAAATATTGAATTTATTGATTATTACCCTGATGAAAAAATTCTCATAATACTCATAAGAATTTGTTGTATTTTAAATTTTTAATAAAACACTTTAAACAAAGATTTTTGAAAAATATTTTAATTTTTTTTAGATTTTATGTTTTTTTTTAAAAAAACTCTGAAAAATATTCCGGAGCAGATTAGGGGCCTATTCTGTAAGCGTTAGAGTCGTTAAGAGTTATAGAAAATAGGCCCCTTAGATTTCTTAAAATTTAGATTTATTTTTTAAAGATATTCCATTTTATATACAAAATCTGAGAAATTTTTTAAAACGTTATAAAATTATTACAGAAATTCTGAAAAATTTTAAAGTTTATATAGAAGTTCTGAAAAATTGTATATAGAATTCTAAAAAAAATTTTATTCTCACCGCCAAATTAAGACAATATAAAATGTAGACAAATTATATATATCTAATTACGAATAAAAATGAGACATTTGATATAATAATATTGAACTTAATTAATTTAGTATAGCTATTTGCTTCAGGATAAATTTCAAAATACTTGTTAAAAATTTACTGAAAGACGGCGAGATTTAATTGTATACAATTACCTTCGTTCCCTTACGTTGAAAATATT